GGCATTTTCTTCTGAGCGCTGGGCCCTTGACAAGGAATTTCTGCACGGATACTATCTGCTCCTTATCTCAGCAGCTTCCGCAGAAATCATCGTATGGGGCTCCAAACCTGGCGGCCATGTGGCCAATGGTCCATTGTCCCGTTAGTGTTCCTAACCTAGCCTATCGTCTGACTTTTAAAGCCTCTCTCTCTCTCTACTTCTGAAGACCGATAGCGCAGTGGAGTAAAAATGAATTACGTATTGCGGCAAAGCTTGTAGGGATCTTCGGCACTTCTTAACGCATATGAAGTTAGTATTGCCGACCTTAAGGCTTTGATGGCAGCTTGACTGTCAAAAGCGAAGGCAAGTTTAGATGAAGCTTGGCCGATCGTGCTCGCTATGTCGATTCCATAGATCTAAGCCTGGAAAACAATGCAGTGATCTGGGAGTCTATGGAACTCTCTCAGTGATAACTCCTGAGAGAAGACGCCAGGGCATGTTCCAATATGCATTTTGGAGCTTTCCATGAAAATGGGTATTTCTTTATCGCTGAGAGCAGTATTAAATTCCCACGAAATTCTGTTGGGAAAATGAACATCGAAGTTGCGACTGAAGCCAGTTTTCGTGACCTGATAGTCACAGCTACTCTACTCCAACTCCACTATAGCGTCGGTACTTATAACTCTATCTCTATGGATGGAATGTACAGGAGTATCTCCAGCGTAGCCTGGTACGTTGAGTAAACTGTCCTTGTTATACGTATGTGGTTAGAGTTGCGTTCTTCCACTCGGCAGAATCAATATTCAATTCACGCAGGTAATCGAAAATCTCCGATTCTATTTCGGACATGGAGATGTGTAGCTTTTCATAAAATATCCTTCCTAGAGATGGCGTCAATCTCAGGTCCCTCCATTCGTGTGTGAATATCAAGACGCACGCCGCAAAAGTTTTTAGCAGCTCGGCCATACACTTGACTAAAATGTTAAGCAGCATTTGTTTTTTTTTTAGAAAAAAAAATCAATCTCTTAAACACAGTTAACATTAGGTTACTCCCTGTGTATTTGACCCAACTTAACCGCCAGCAAAAACTTATTCTTATATTCTGTCTTCAGGGACGTCGGTTGGTCTGATAGTGTCTTGGGCTCTCTGGTTTCGGGGACTTCTTGATGCTTCATCAATACCGAACCACAAACTAATATTACCTTGTTTTACTTAGAATAGAAAGTTCTTTGCAGAAAATGGATTAAACACATTTTTGTGAACTACTCGAGTTCGTGCAATATTTGTGATTTTGTAGCACTGCGTAATTAATTAAATAATCAATTGCATCTATACCCATTAACCTGTAGAGAGGGTATACTTGCATAAATAATCTGCAAATATTTATGTTTGTATATAGTTGTACGAATGTATGTACGAGTTTGCTCGCGGCTTTATTCAACATTGCTTTACACAAATGCGTTGTTGCGCACTTTCTATTTATGACAAAGGATAATTATGACATTGTTTATAATTATTAAAGATGAGCATGTTTATTGTTTTGCTTTTAAAATCTCATTACGTGATTCTATTTTACGAGGCCCACCTGACTGACCATGCTGAGGTTAGATCAACTGGCGAATTGCAACAAATTATTTATAACAAAAGATTGGGATACGTTAGATGAATAGCGTTGTTGCCATGTTGTTGACAATGGCTAAGCTATTGTGAGCTTTTTCACAGCAAAACCTTACCTGTGGCTGTATTCCATATTAAATATGCTTAACTGCTTGCTGTTAAAATCCTTTGTTGGTTACACATGTATCTATTTATCGATATCTAAGTATGTATAAATGTATAAGCTGCAGTATTGAATACAAGTCTCACCTGCTTTGTCTTCACAACTGACCGCATATTAAGAGAGTTACATTATCTCACAACTGCATATTGCCCTTGTGGCAATTAGACGACCATTGCTTATTTGAGACAATGGACGGTTAAACCTAAGTACATATATAAATAAACATACCTGTAAACTAATCTCGTAGCTTAATTATCAGAGAAATACTTTACGTATACATATATAATTTCAAAAGCAAAATATAGTTATGCCTTAACGATTTGATGCGGTTTAAATTTAATTATGTAAACTAATTTTTTTTGGTTTGCTTTTATTAATGCTTACGCCATATTTTCACCGCACATTAAATGACGTAAATACTACTGTTAAAATTCAGAATATAAAAACATTTTTGCCATTTTTTTAATAAAAAATAATCATTTTTTTCTTATTCTCATGGCATTTTTCAAGTAACACAACTTTTCAGCCACATCAACGCGCAGTGAAAACTCGTCTTTATAGCGGATTTTCACTGGGCATTAAATGACCAAAATGTCATGATAAAACTCATCATTTTTGCGTTAAAAAATATCATTAACCGACTTCAAAAGAAAGAGAAAGGTTATCAATTAATCGGAATATTTCTTTGTTTTAATTTTCATACTAATTTAGTTTAGTACCTGCGCTTTTTATCATAAAGCAATTAACGGTACTCCCAAATTTTTATATAAGCATTAATGCGGTTGTATTATTTTGCTTAAAAAATACTTGTTTAAATGCTAAATGTCGTTTTTTGTCATCTCAACGCTCAGTGGAATTATGGAACTACATTCAAAAATTTTTGAAAAATTATAACGAAGTGTGGGGATTAGGGCGAAGTAATTTAATTTCGAAAAAAAGTTTATGACACATACGAGTTATACGTTCGATTCTAAGCAAACCTGGTGAACAAACTTTGACGTTTGACCATCCCAATTTAAAAAAAAAAATCATTGTATTTATTATAATTTTTTGTGAATGAAATTAATTTTTCATGTACAAAATTTGGTGTTTTCTTCATTCAATATGCTTTTTTTCTTTTGAAAACTGGGGGGGTCAAATGCCATTTTTGGTATATAGTTTTTTCGCCTTTTTTGCCTAGAATTAATCGTAGAATGTGAATTTTCACTCACTTTCTTCAAAAATTTTGCTTCGGACAAATTACTCCTACTTAATGGTAAGCTAGGTAAGAATAAGCAAAGCGTTGCCACCTGTTAAAAATTTAATTCAAATAAGTTAAATGAATTGTTACAATATACGTAAGTATCAATCTATATGGTTTTGAAAAATTTTACCCCATCCTACATATATTAACTGATTCAAAAGTCCTTCTTAATACCCTTATATGGATATCAGACGAAAGATATTTAAAAGCGTTGTAGTTTAAAAATACTTTGAAGAGGGTTGCCACCAGTTAAAAATTTAAAATTAAAATTAGCATATAAGTTAAATGTATTACTACAATGTGGTTATCAATCAAAATAGTTTTAAAATGGATTTATTTCTAAACTACTAGAGTTGCCACTTGTTTCAAAAATCAATCTTAACTAGAATTAAGGCAATTGGGTAATTGAAATATGCATTAAAATATGGCATTCCTGCGAAAGAGGTTTAAGATGGTTATAGTTTTAAAATACTTCGAAGAAGGTTGAAAGCTGTTTAAAAATATCAAGAAAAATTATACAATTTTTAATGAGTTATTACAATATGAGTATTAAGACAAATGGGTTTGAAAAGGATTTATGTCTAATATACATGAGGGTTGCCACCTGTTTTATAAGTCATATTTAACTTAAATTAAGGGAATAAGGTAATTGAAATAAATGTGTGTACATACATATGTCAAACGGACACCCATAGTCACACGAGAGAGGTTTAAAATGATTGTAGTTGGCTATTTATTTAGAAAAGGGTTGCCGGCTGTTTAAAAATTTAATTTCAAATTATGTATAAAGTAAATAAGTTAGGCTTTACATATTAGGGTTGCAACCTGTTTACAAACTCAAGTTCAACGAAAATTAAGGGAATACATACATTTTTTGTAAAGGATATCAGATCTGCGCCGTTTGGGTTTAAAGGCTTTAACAATAGGTTTCATTTCTTGTAGCTTGGACTTTTCACGTAGGTATGAGTCTATGTTCTTAGCGGAGTTTAAATATGTTGGCTTTTATTGAGATATGTAAATTATATACGATACTATGTTTATATCTTTAAACTTTAACTGTATTTCCCTTTCGACTTTTCCACCACCTCATGCATTTGCGTGTTCAGCATGAATTCTTATCAACCTACTGCTTACACATCTATGAGTCTTCAGGTGAGACATAAAAGCTTTTATTTTGTGATAAGAAAGCTTTTCAGCCAAGCCAACAGAGGGCGTTTAAGAACAAGCGCACAAAACGGAACTTGCGATAAGGATGATAAATATATTCTGGTGCTCTTAGGCAAACAAGCGTTGGGCGTGAATGATTACTGGCGCTAAATTCGTCAAGAGTAGTATACACCGAAAAATATTGTTAGACATAAAAAGAGTGTATATGCTTTTAACGAAAGAAATCGAAATTAGATCGGATATTCGTCTGAAATAGCATAAAGAAAGTGCTCTGTTTGAAGAAACTTCTTTGAAAATTCACTTTTTATACGCTCACCATAGTCGAAGTGAAGAGAGGGTTCTCATAAAATGTATCTCTTTTTTATGATACACTTCTCTTTCTGCTGCTGATTTTCACCACACTTGTAATTCAAAAAACATGCTATGCTGCCAAATTTTGTATTGTACGTATCCTGCCAACGGGATGCTGACAACCAATTTCACTCACTCGTGCACACTCACTCTTCTTACTCGGCGCACAATTATGCTTGCCGCAGTCATGTGTATGCTCTCCGTAACAATTTCGTACTCGAGCTGTCTTGCAACCAGTGCTGCTTGAGAGTAGCTACACATCAGCGGGTAAATCTATTTTTACCCATACAAACCCGCGCAATTCTCCCCTTGTCATGCGTCTGGCATCTGGCGCAAAACCGGAGCCGACTGATTTTACGCTGATTGTTGCTCTTCTCACTAAACTAGATAAGTACGTTGTGTTGCTGCTGGAGAGCAGTCTATCGAAGACGAATTGGCAGCCAAAAAAAAAAGAAAACAAAAAAATTGCAAGTCTTCTATTTAACATCAAGGGATAAATCCCGAAATGGCTCAGTCTGTTTTTGTAAACGGGCGTTAAATGGTCGTTGAGCGGCGGAAGTGCGTCGGCTGGTTTCTTTCTACTTTATTTTTGTTGGTTGTTGGCAGTTCACCAGTGAATTTGTTTTGCAAGCAAATTTCAAAGGCATACACGGTCGGTAATAAAATTTCACGCCTATACGTAAATGAGTTAAATGAAAGAAAAGTGTGCTTGTAGTGAATTGAGGAAAAAGTTGCTTGTGTAGCACAGAAAATTCGCCAGAACTTTATATTAAAAGTTTCACAAAAAGAAAAGGTTACTGAAATAAATAAATGTGATAGTCGATAAAGACGTAGTACTATGACTAAAGTTGTGCACCAAAATCATTGCAAAATATCTAGTTGGCAGCTATATTCTTAGTCAACTGCCTGTGGCTGTAGCGGTGCCCTCGCTTGACTAGGTCCTTCGGCTGCTATAAAGATAAGAATCTCATATCCCTTGTAGCTTTATTACATTGTGCGTCAAACAGGAAGTGAAATAACTAAAAGAGAAAATAGCAGTAATCTCAAGCCTACAATACGAATTGGAATAGGAAAATAAGAAGAGTAAAAACCTGAAATAAAAGTGCTACAGAAAATATTTAAAGAAGATTGGTAGAAAGTGAGCACTAGTTAAGCGACCCAAAACAGAAAATGTGTGATTGTGGAAGAAGCGGAAAATGTAGAAAAAGTGAGAGCATGGAACCTTATGGAAATTAAAGTAGCAACAACTTAAGTGGGTGCAGCAGCCTTATTTTTTTGTTTTGGGAAAAAAGAAACAAAAAATACGAAAATGTAAAAAAAGCAAAACAGAAAATAAAAGAAAAATGCAAAGTCACGATAGCATCAAAGCTTTTGGGAAAACAGTTGCTCCAATGTATTATCTTAAGCGCACTAAATACTTGGAGAAAATGGTGATTACATTTTTGAATAAAATAAAATAGAAATTTGGTGCAAGAAAGATAACAAATAATAAGAAAAGTTTTTGCGACACGTAAAAAGCGAAATTGGTTCTTTGCTGCTTAGCTATAAGAATGATACTAAATGTTGACAAAAAGAGCAAAAGTGAGGTTATAAACTGGGAATATAATCATTTTTTCATAACGGCGGCGCTGATTTTATTTTCAGACGGTGCTGTGAAAAGTATGATATATGCGACAATTTGGCTTGAATACCATTTAATCACAAAACATGTAAAGTACCGATTTTGTCTAACATTGAAGTGAACAGCTGCAAGTGAAGAAAAAAAGTATCATAAAATATGCGCAAAGAAAATATACATTGAATGGTCATATGAATTTAAATACATAAAAAATTATGTATGAACATTTTTTTTATTTAAATATTTTCTTAATTTTAGCCCATTTATTCTCATTTGTTATGGAAACAGTTTCATACGGATGACTGAAAATATTTAAAATTTGTGAAAATTTGCCAAAAATATTTTTTATTTTTTATTTTTTGCTTAATGTTTTTGTACTTAAAGCTGAGTGCAATATTTATTGGTAAAACGTATTTAAATTTTATTTGCGAAAAAAAAATTCTACATATTTTCTCCCTGCAGTTAAAAGTGTAATTTGGGAAGCCAGTGAGTTTTGATTGAAATGCAACACTGCTTCTGCTAACAAACCATCTGATTCACCTAACATTTTTTTGAATTCGCCACGTGTTGTACAAGCGCTGAAAGCAGTAAACTTCGCTCATTGTATGTGGGCTGAATGAACAACTCAGTGAGAGAGCAGATCAGGTTGTTTACATGCATGCATGCATACAAAAATATTTATTAGATCAACAAATAGTGGATAGACACTCTGGCCAATGGTAAACATCTATGCATCAGCTATGCATGGTCGTAAGTCATGCAGAGTTCGAAAAAAAGCATCGAAATCTTTGTCCAGAGGGTGCGCAAGACAAGGATGGGTATGCTTTTGAAGTACCATCAGCCTATTACTTAAGAAAGTTTTGTTATATGACACTTGAGAAGTCCATAGCATGCTTTAATTCGCTTACCTAAATACAGACTTTTGTAGGTACCATTGGCAAAAAGCCATAACTTCCGCTACAAATTGTGGCATTTTTCTGCAGATTAGCCCCGTCAAGCTGAAAAAAGCGCATTAGTGAAAAATAACTTTCATACTGAAGGCATTTAAAATCGACTTCTTTTAAGGGAACAAAGAAATTAGAAAAAAAAACACAAACCCAAATTTAAAAGCTAAGCCATTGCTTTTTCTTAAAATTTCAGATCTTTTGCTTAAATTTCTTTGAATAAATTGAGTAAAAGGAAAAAGCAATTGCTTATCTTTTATTTGTATGGCCCTATGTAGAGAAATCAAAGGCTACTTGTCGAATAGACTGAAAAGTGACTGACTTATCGATCTGCCCTTAACCCTTCTGTTACATTAAAAAATTCTTACTCTTAATACATTAGAAAAAGTCTCAAGACTGCGTTAAAATTTAATTTAGTCATTATTTCCAGCAAAATGAGGAAAACGCAGCCTACTGTGGGTCATCAGTAGCTAGTAGCTCACGTAAGTTTTGAAATAATTTCTCTTGCAGTAGAAACAACTTTCTTTTTAAATATAGGATCTTGAAAAGTTGTTTATGCAATTATTTTCAGTTTAAAAAATATTGAAAAGTTTAAGTTACAAAAGGTTACGAAATGACCTTAATGCAACAGAAGGGTTAAAATTTTTCATTTTCGAAAATAATGAAAAAAATAATAATTTTTTAAATCCATAAATTTTCTGGAAACATTGATGAAAAATGAAAATAAAAGAAGTCCTCATCGGGTACCCTGTGGCAATGCCTGACCACGCATTACCAATAACTCTAGATGACGTTGCACCAATTGTAACAATTAACTTTATGGGCCGTATCTCATGTTGGTTTTAAAATTTATCTGGCCTTTAAACAAAAATTTTGTACTGGAAAAGTATAAATTTTAAAACCTAACTTTTTCGAAAGCTTTGGAGAAGTCCGCATGTACTTATAACGTCTTATTGCGCATTTGAATTGATTCAACCATTTTGTTGCTTTGTAGAGCTAAATGAGAACAGGTTGACCTATCGGGGAATAAGCCAATATTATCCTATTTACTTAATCCAATAATTTCAAATATATTTCAGTATCAAATAACTTAGCCAATGTGCTTTATTTAACTATCGGGCTGTAATTACAGACATTATTGCGATCAGCAGATTTTAATATTGGAGTACGGGTACAAATTTTCCATTGTTTTGGGAAAAGGCGTTTATTGAGGCACTCTTGAAAAAGAAGGAAATAAGAAAGTCTTAAACATTGGAGCATTTTTTAAAAAAGATAGTTTAGAAACATTCGGAATCTTGACTCGAAGCTGAAATAGCAAGTAAAAGATCGTTTTCGGAAACAGAGAGCTCTATACTCTTGTCATCTTATTTTTCAGCTTTGTTAATCTGGAATTAAACCATGGTGGAATTTTTCGAACAATAAGTAATTCGCTTTATCGGGACGTAGTTGCAAATAACTAGATACAATCAATTCAGCACTAATCGAGCAATTAAGATCTGATTTAGAATTTTAGCGGAGAAAGCTTGGTTAATTACTCGACTAATTGCCTCTCTGCATGTAATATTAGAATGTTTCATGCAGCGATGCTGGGGTGATTGATTCAGTTTTTCCAAACCGGTTTCCTCTTTTTTTTTTAAATCTTGATTTTTCGAATATCGTATAAATCGGATGTTTTCAGCGAAGAAACCATTTTCTTCATATCAAACTGATATAGACCTCTTAATAAAGTTTCGAGTTCCTCGAACTTCCAGTTCAAGTTTAAGGGAAATACTTACTTTACTACACCTCCGAAGAAGCTTTTTTATGGCTGGAGTTTACTGTTATGTTTGAGACTTTCTGCTATGGGGTGACCGCTATATGAAAAAAAAACTTTTTTTGATGTTTCTAAGACCAGAAATTTAACCATGGACCTGCCGGGTGGCAGTAGGTACATTCAGGTACTCGGCGACGGTGGAATAGCACTACTCGAATCCAAAAAAAAAGTCATAAAGAAGCTGTAAGTTATTAAAAAAGGTTAAAATAAAACCAAACGTGATTTGTTTTACTGATTTTTATTTTTTTTACTTTTGGTCTAAAAAAATTGAACTTATTTTGCTTGGCTTTGTTTTTTTTTTCGTAATAAAAGCCATCTTTCTTTTTTGTAATTTTTGATCATGACTTTATACCAGCATACGCATTTTCACTGTATGAAAACTATGTAAAATAAAGCCCGGATAAGGTTTTCCTTAATTTCAATATCGGGCTTAATTCAGGTCTGGCTTTCGGAGTATATGCTTACTTTCTTGAATGGTGCTTATTATCTTTGTGCTTGCAAAGTTCGCTGCTGCATTTACGGGGGCTATCTCCGCCATTCTCTCGAAAAAAAGGCACTCTAGTTCCCGTACTTTAATTTCTATTCAGATTACCATGCGTTTAAAACTTCTATCATAAAATCTTTAGAAAATACTATGCAGTAGTACCTTGCCTTAATTATTCATTAATTCTGTAACCAGCCAATCATGTTCATATTAGAAAACCAGTTAAAAAAACGAATTTAAAAACTGATCTCACAAAAAAAAATCAAGTTAAACGAAAGCTCCAAAAATGACAATCAGTGCTGCAGCTGTCAAAACTCCGATAAATTGCATTGATTTGCCGCGCGTGAAGCTCCCCTTGCTAAACACTTATGCCTTCAGACAGGAAGCAGGCAAAAAAATAGAAACAAACATTACAAAAAAAAAAAATGAATGTCTTTGCATGGGTTTGTAGTCACTACGACGCGAAGGGGTGGGCGTGGTGGCAGCTCAAATTGCGAATGACAAAAATCACTGACGTGCTGTGGCATTTTAATTTTTCTTATCAAGCAATAACGACAGAAAAAAGGAGAAACCCGAAACGCAAAAAAAGTAACACTGAAAAAAAAGCTAGAAATGTCAGACAGCCAGTGAAGTAACGCAAATGAATCATTTGAATCAACGATTGAGCCATTGGAACACCCGCACAATCTGTGATGGCAGAAAAAGTGGCACGAAAAAGAAAAATAAGGGAAAGTACCACACAAAGTTGCAGACGGCCGGCGTCAAAAATTCGTAGCTGAAAATTGAACAGCAAAAAT